TAGTATGATTGACGGTGGACGACGAGACGGACGAGTCGGCGCCGAAGGACCGGAGATTGGTGAACATGAGAGGGCGGTCCTTAGCCTCTTCTTCGTCCTCGTCGTCGGACTCAGAGGTATTGAGGTTAACGCAGGAGCATCGTTCAAGCGACGCGAAGAATGCGGAAGCCACGCTCATCCCGAACCACCTGGCCAGGCCGTCCAGCTTCTCGTAGGGCGAATTCTCCATAATAATCGAGAGATAGAGAGAGATGGATGAAAGATAGATCGATCGACAAAGAATTCAAGCCCTAGGACTGGAGAATAGGAAAGAGGGGGAGCTGGAGCTGCTCGTTGAATCTGGGAGAGAAAAGAACGAGGAGGAATAGCTAATCGAGAAAGTGAGGATTCCAGGAGGAGATATTGGTCATTAACACGAAGGCGGTGCTGGAGGTCCACACACGATAAAGTTTTTTTTTTTCCTTGAAGGAAAACACACTATAAAGTCTGAGTGCAATTAGTGGTAGGATTAGTTAATAAGTTAATTACAACATTTTTCTAAGGTAAGCAAAATTAAAATTATTAAATAGGGAAAGCATTTAGGACAGGGGTTACAATTGGGATGCAGTACACCAAAAATAAGGCAATCAATTATTAATTTCGTTAAATTATTTCGTACTACTTGAATTGTATCACTATTTGATAAAAAGAAAATTAACATCGGACCTACTTTTTTTTATCGTTTATCATATTTTTCCAACAATTTGATAGTATATATTGTCTACCCTATTTATCCAAACGACGTTGGTCATAGACCGGTAAGGGTAACCAAACCATTTATAATTTTGGCTAATTCTAATTGTATGTGACGGTTTGAATGAAATTTCATTTCATACCCTAACCTTGTTTGGTTACTCGATGATCACTTAACCTATTGAACGAGGTTTGTGTATAATCCTCTTATACATAGGAAAAATAATAATTAGATTTAAAAGGAAAAAAGCAACATAGTATATCTAAATTAAATAAAAGTATTCAATCCTATAATTTTAAAAGTCTCCCAACAAATTACTACATGACTAAAAGGGATAATTGTAGAAACCTCCCCTGAGGTTTCTGACACTTGCACTGACCTCCCCTGAACTTACTAATCCTTTGCAATTTAGTTTGTTTCATGTCCAATGAATGACAAAATACTACAAATCAATTAACAATTAATAAACTTTAAAGGGTGTAATTTATAGGCAAATACGCATTACCTATTTAAAGTACCGGCTCTTTATGGGTATTTTACTTTCAAACATTTAATTTATGATAAATACATCAATGTTTGTAAGTAAAATTCAAAAAGTGTTACGGGAATATTCTTACAAAAAGGAAATCGGTAGGTTATCTATTTAATATAAATTAAATATTAAAAAAAAAAGAAATGGCCCATAAAGTATTAATTCTTTATGGCTTTCATCCATTAGATGAGTAAAGTATTGACTCTTTATGGGCATTTATTTTTTAAAAAAATATTTAATTATCCCTAAATTAAATGATTTCTTTTTTTTAATTTACTGAGGGGAGGTTTCTGCAATTATCTCTAAATTAAATGATTCAGAATAAAATGTCCATAAAATTTTTTCATTTTTTTAAGCAATGGATAAGTAAAATTTAGGGAGTGGAGAGGAGAAAGGGGATAATTGAACATCAACTGGTATGACTTAGAGACCATTTGGTAAAATTTCTGATTGAAGTGTGAATTGCGATAGAGTGTTTGGATACCAAAAGGGAAATTTGCCAAATTGGTCCCTAACATTTACCAAAAACACTTTTTTAGTTCCTAACATATAAAATCAGCCAAAATTGTCCTTCACATTTAAATTGTGATCCAATTTGGTCATAATGCTCGTTTTTGCTCCTTTCTCCGGCTAAAAATAGCACGCCCCTCTCACGTGGTCATATTTTCAAGGGCAAAATTGGAAAACAAAAGCTTTCTTCTTTCTTCTTTTTCCCTGTTTCTTCTTCTCCATCGCGACCGAGAGCCCTCATCACCGCCGCCGCATCCTCCGCCCCTCCAACCTCGCTTGTCCGCCGCCTCTCTCTATTGTCGCGCGATCTTTGCTCCGCTGCCCTGCGCACTGCCCTCGTCTCTCTCTCTAGTCGACCGCATCCTTCCACTAGCTCACCCGCGACCCCAGCGCACGCCGCCCGCTGCTCAGCGCGTCGCCACTGCGCGGCTCTCTTTCATCCTCCGCCTGCCCCGACGCCGCAGCCCGCATCCACGAGAAGCAGCCGCCGCCGCTGCTCGACGCCACTGGCGCGCGTCGCGTACCTCACCTCACCTTACTTCACTCCCTCTTCTCTCTCCTCGCGCCTCCACCAGTGAACGCGGCACCTCTTCTGATCACCTCCAAATATGCTTCTGTTCAGGTGAACTCAGTCACCGTTGTGGTGAACCTGTCCTTAAAGAGTCGAAGCAAGATAAAGATCGTGAGATCAGGGATCGTCCCCAGTGGATCTAGGATTTGTGTTTTCCAATTTTGCCTTTGAAAATATGACCACGTGAGAGGGGCGTGCTATTTTTAGTCGGAGAAAGGAGCAAAAACGAGCATTAGGACCAAATTGGATCACAATTTAAATGTGAAGGACAATTTTGGCTGATTTTATATGTTAGGGACTAAAAAAGTGTTTTTGGTAAATGTTAGGGACCAATTTGGCAAATTTCCCATATCAAAATTATCCCAAATAATATTTCGCTTGCATCACAAACACATTTCCCAACCTAACTTTTTATATTCCCAACTACTTTTTATCTCACATACATCACATCACAAAAAGTGTTACAGTAATTATTCCAAATAATATTTCAAATAATACACTATCTTAAACAAACCTGTGTTGGAATATTCTAAACCATGCATGGCCCAAATTATGAAGCAAAGCACATCAAACACCTCCTCCTTGAGCTGCCTTGACCCACCTGCTTCTACTCCACCGGAGCCGTTTTTATCCGAAGCAGATTACGGGGTCGATTAATGTGCATGCCACGTCACAAGGAAAATATGTGTACGTCTGAAATGGTCAATCCACTCAGTCTGGATGGATAAGTCGTTGACAAACTGAAGAAGAAACACCAGTGATTCACAAAAATGGCAACCCTTTCAAACTCAACTCCTTTGTCGCAGAAAGTCTTCTCTGCCACTGGAAGAAATTCCCTCTCAACAAGACACCATCGTTCTTCTCTTAGATTTTCTGGTACAAGAAGTCAAGAACCTCTACTAATCTTTTCTTTATTTTTTTTCTCTCCCTTTTAATCTGACAACTACTTGAACTGCCAGAAATTAATGTTTGATCTTAATGTAATCTGGGCAGCTTCAAGAAGAGACGACGATCCCGAACAAGTACAACCTAATGAAAATGTATCCCAATTCAAGGAGCTAAGAAGCGTAGCTTGTGGCGTCCTTGCTGTCTGGGCAGTGACTGCTGCCTCACCCGTCATCGGGGCAAATGTAGGTTAATTTCCGCCGACCAATCTCATCTTCCTTTCCCTTTTCGGTCTGCACAATTTCAGGTCCATTTGGAGATTAATTTGAGCCCAAAATCTTGCGTCATCGATCTTTGGGTGTTGCCATATCAATATATTTAGCATTCTTTTGTTAGTCTCAAGACAGAATCTCGTATAACTAACAATTGATCTTGTGGTTAGCCTGTTCTTGTGCACCACACGCGTATCAAACTTGAAGATGATAGAATACTTTTTGACTGCTGTTGATATAAAGAGGCACAGCCTGAGCGATATGATTAAGTATATAGCAGGAGTAGTGAATAGTGATATACTCGTATGCAGATAAGGTTGCCGCCGCTGTCAACAGAGCCCAACAGGTGTGAGCGTGCATTTGTTGGCAACACCATTGGTCAAGCAAATGGTGTGTATGACAAGCCACTCGATCTCCGCTTTTGTGATTACGCAAATGACAAGTCCAACCTCAAGGGCAAATCTCTCGCTGCGGCGCTCCTGTCCGAAGCTAAATTTGATGGGGCTGACATGACTGAAGTCGTCATGACCAAGGCTTATGCCGTTGGAGCAAGCTTTAAGGGTACTTCCACCGTTTCTTTTCTCTTTTTCCTTTTTTCAATTTCAGCCTCAAAATTAGTACTAGTGTTACTTAAAAACCTGATCAACTTTGGGAATCGATTGTAAAGGCGAGAATCCATCGTATTTGGCTTGGTTAAAGTGAGGAAAGCGTCATTCTTTTTGAGCTTGAGATCAGACTAATTCTTCTAAGGTGTATCTGCAGGTACAGACTTCTCCAATGCAGTTCTGGACCGAGTCAACTTTGGGAAAGCCAACCTCCAGGGAGCTTTATTCAAGAATACTGTACTATCTGGATCCACCTTTGACGGAGCTCAACTTCAAGATGCAGTTTTCGATGATACTATCATAGGATACATCGACCTTCAGAAGCTTTGCACAAATAAAACTATCAGCGAGGATGGGAGAGCTACTTTGGGGTGCCGATGACTCCGGCCTTGTTTTCCATCGCTTTCGCTTCTGATCCAATTTTCTCTCTAAGACTAATGGTGTAAACTGCAATTTTTGTATTTATGAGAATTTATAATGTAATGCACCTCAAATTGCAGATTTACTGTGTCCTCGTTTTCGTACAGATTTGTTATAGCCCATGTAGGCAAAACATCTCAGTTTTCATAAGCTTTGTTTGTTGTCAGTTTCTAATGTCAGTTATGCTGCAAATGTTGCCAGGAGATAGATGGTTTTGGGGGAAGACAAGCTTAGTACTATTAAGCTTCAAATGTCAATTAAGCTGCAAGTTTTTCTAAAAATTTTCAAAAAATTATATGTATAGAACAAAAAAGACAAAACAAATGACCACGAAGAAAATCGAATTCTGCTTTAGTAGGCTACAGATCCAAGGAAGGATGTAGATTCGCAGTTCTTTCTGAAAGTAAAAGTTGGTCCATCAAATATTCTTTTTCTCCAAACACACTCCAGCATTTATGCTCCATGAAGCACACAGCCAGAAAGCAAAGAATCCCAATCTCCAGAAGTAATCTTCCATTCAATTATGCCTAATCTGCGTCTCCCACAAATCACACCATAAATCATCACCTACGTACTATTCAGAGTGACGGAGAAGAACATGGGCACCACTCTCGTTCATGTCATTAGCGCACTTTTGCTTGTTGCCTCAGTAAATATTCAAGGTATGCCTTAAATTTATCTGCAATCCGCAGGATTCGGGGTTTATATAGTTGATAAAGAGACTGTTTCCTAAATAGAGAACTAAACATATTGTTTTTATTGTTGCAATTAGGAATTGAAGGAACTATTGGTGTTAACTATGGCACGGTGGCCGACAACCTACCTCCGCCAGCTGAAGTTGCACATTTTCTCCTCGAAAACACCATTATCAATCGTGTGAGGCTTTTTGATGCCAACCCTGAAATTTTAGAAGCATTTGCTCACACTGGTATTGCCATTACATTAACTGTCCCCAATAATGAAATTCCACAGCTTACAAATCTCAGTTTTGCACAACAGTGGGTCACAGCCAACATTACACCTCATTTTCCTGCCACCAACATAGTCCGGATTCTTGTAGGGAATGAAGTAGTTTCCAGTGCTAGCAAATTGTTGATAACCAGTCTTGTCCCTGCAATGCAGACGCTCCACACTGCCCTTGTTGCTGAGTCTTTAGACCATCGTATTAAAGTTTCAACTCCACATTCCCTAGGTATTCTTTCGAGCTCAAGCCCACCGTCCAGTGGGAAATTTCGGCAAGGTTATGATACTCATGTGCTCAAGCCATTGCTAAGCTTCCTGAGAGCCACGGATTCACCTTTTCTAGTGAACCCATATCCATTCTTTGGCTGCTCTGCGGACACTCTAGATTATGCACTATTTAGGCCCAATTCAGGCGCTTTTGATGACGACACAAAGTTTACCTACACAAACATGCTAGATGGCCAATTAGATGCAGTTTTCTCAGCACTAAAGCTCCTGGACTTTTCTGATCTCGAGATTGTCATAGCTGAAACAGGCTGGCCCTCAAAAGGAGATGCAGGGCAAGTTGGCGTTGATGCCGATACGGCAGCTGAATACAACAGAAAGCTCATGCAGCATGTAACATCTGGGGTTGGGACACCCCTCATGCCGAACAGAACATTTGAGACGTACATTTTTGCTCTTTTTAATGAGGATTTAAAGCCAGGGCCAACTTGCGAGAGAAATTTTGGTCTCTTCCAGCCAGATATGACTCCAGTATATGACATTGGAATTCTCCGGCCAACGGTAGCTGCAGCTGCTGATAATCACCATAGTGCTAGATATTTGTTCGTAGTTGTATTCATTTGCTTGATTGGTTTGTAAACTTGGCTCTGGCAGGCTAAAGCGAATTTCCCTTCCTACCCAACCCCACAAGCTGCACCAGTCAATCCCAGTCCAATCCCGGCTTCAGGGGCAAAACGATGGTGTCTGCCGGAGACAGGAGCTAAAGAAGATGCATTGCAGAAGAATCTTGATTATATATGTGGATTGGGAATGGACTGCAAACCAATCCAAGAGGGCGGAGCATGCTATCTTCCCAACACTGTTCGAGGTCATGCAGCCTATGCCATGAATGCATATTATCAAGCTACGGGAAGGAATGATTACGCCTGTGACTTCGGAGGAACTGGAGCCATCACCAAATCAGATCCAAGTATGTTGATTTTGCAACCATAGATCAAGTTTCAACACTCATTTTGTTCTTAGTGATGCATAATCATAGTTTTAACTTGTGTAATCTATTTATATTCAAATTTCAGGTTATGGGAACTGCAAATACTGAAAAGAAGAAACTGGGATTCACGGATGCTTGGCTGCTAAATTCTGTTGTTCAGAGCTGTGAAGCAAGAAATGTCATATGAGCACTGTAATGTGAGGATAACGAGTAATAGTGGAAGAATAGTATAGACTTTACAGGGTGCAAAAATTTAAGAGGAATTCTCTGCTAAGCAAGAAAAAATTTTATGTACCAAAGTTTTGAGTTATTTGTAGGGTATGCAGTCCTAACGATTTGTTGTATCCACTATCCACAAGCTTTTCCACTCCAACAAGTCTCCAAACCTGAATAAGTTCAGCATACAAAGAGATCATCTAATCCAGAAATAGTAGGTGTTTATTTATGCAAGTTGTCTTTCTTACTCCCCGGCCCGCCCTCCAAAAAAAACATAGAGAGAATCCAATCCAGAAATGGAAAACCCTGCAAACAGTAGCCGAACGTATCAAACCAATCAACAGGACCAAACGTAGTTTCAGAATTGAGAGGAAAATGGAAATTTCTAGGGCAACATGGAGACGTTTATCATCATATCATTATTATTATTTTGCTCCTTTTCTATTAAAATGGAATCATCCAAAATGAGTAAGATATGGTTTACCTCATGCGCAAAGTTCTATTCTGTATATAAAGTCAATATTGTCATTTTTAGGCTTAAATACATTTTGCCCCCTTGTAATTAGGTGTTAGTAGCACATCGCCCCCTATGTTCATGAAACCTACAAATTACCCGCTAATGCTAATAATAGTCTAATGTATTTGGATAGCAAAAGTATAATTATGCCCTCATTGTTAGAATATTGTCCAATGACCATTTGTCTTTTTCTATTTCTTCATGTAGTTTTCCTTATTATTGTTTGAATTTCTTTCCTACTATAAAATACAAATTTTCATAATAATGTACTAAAGACTGTCTTATGAAAAAAAAAAATAATTAGCACAAGAATTTTAAAAAAGTATATATTTATTCTAAGTAACTCCTATTTTATTAACAAATTATCATTATGCATTATTTGTTAAATATAAATATTTTACTCTTTTTCTTCATCTACTTTTCTTCTTGATGCTTATTAACAGTTTATTTGACACACAATCATATACAGATATATTTTTGTTGAATATTTAATTATCACAAATTATTATAAGAAACTAAAACTATTTAACAATAGTACTTTATGTAATTTCTATTTTTATTAAAAATTAGTGCATCATAAACATCTTATTAATAATTAATGCATACTAGTGCACCATCAAAATTGCATCAATAATTGATACACAACAAGAATTTGTTAAAGAACAATAGAAACTACTTTAGGTTTTTTTAATTATGTATGCACTCTTGTTTCGTATAATAATTTGTGATAGTTAAACATTCTACATAACTAAATAACCCAACAAAAGAAATTGTTAATGAGAAAATATAATATGTTAAACCATAAAAATAAATTCTTTGATACATTACTATTAAAATTTGTAAATCCTAGCCGATGGAGTAAAAAGGAATCCATTATACATTTGTCTGGACAGTAGATTATTTGGCCAAATATATTTGCTGATATCACCATTACAATTTTTAATACAATTTTTTATCTTTTCAATTACTTTTTTATCTCACATACATCACATCATAAAAAGTTCTATAATAATTATTTTAAATAATATTTCAAATAATACCCTATCTAAACAAATAGAAGATGGCGAAGAAGGAGAAAAGAAAAGCGATCATCATCTAACAATGTCTAACAAAGAGGGCATAATTGTTTTTTGCTAGAAACATACGCTTGCCTAGTGGTCGTCGATAGGAGGCAATTTGCTATTTGATCCTTAAAGGGGGGCAATACCTGATTTAGCCTATTATTTTTGTTTTTGTAAATTTTTCATTGAAAACAAAAACTATTTATATATCATGTCCATTCTGCCTCGAGGCGGTGAATTGGTGATTGGTAAAGCAAAAGTAAATAAATATAAGGTGAAAAATCCCCAGGGTTTTCAAATTTGGGAATTTAGAAGCGGATGAGCCAAATTTCTGCCTCCCAATTTTAAACTCGCACTGAAGAACTTGCGCTATTATTTGTTGATTTGACACTTTTTGACTGTAGTAGAAAGAGTAATTTACTCGAAGAACGATGATACATCTCCGTCGAACGAACATCTACGTCTACGACAGCGACTGTCAAGGTTGAGGCAGTGGCGGCAACTTTCGTCTTGCTTTTGTTTCGATCTCTACATACTGCCCAGTCCCACGGGTTTACTACTGATATCTTAAATATATATAGGATAAGCAGCGAATAAAATTCTTCGTCTACAGTTTCGTTTTTCTGCTAGGGTTTCGATAAAAGTTTTTCCAGTATCTAAAATTGTCCCCCCTTTCCTTGAGATCATTCGGTTACGCAATGGCTGAATGGCAACAATTTATTCAATCTGTTTTCTTTGGCGTAATCTTCTCCTTTCTGCTTGCGAAGCTCTTCGCTGTAATTTTCGCTTTCCGAGAAGAAAATCTCCGGGTCGTCCGTGGCGATCCGACCGAAGAATCCCAATCGAAACCCTCAGCCGCCGCGATCGAACGGGAAATTTCAGAATCAGATTCTAGGGTTTTCGAAGAGAACAAGCCGTTGATTGCCGATACAGAAAAGGACATTGCTGCCGCTGTCGCCAAGGAGAGCGGGTCAGTTACTACTCCTGGTGGGGACGATACTTATACTAGTGGTAGTGATAGTGATAGTGATTGGGAGGGCGTTGAGAGTACCGAATTGGATGAGGCTTTTAGTGCGGCAACCGCGTTTGTGGCCGCAACCGCTGCGGATAGGTCATCACAGAAAGTCTCGAATGATGTGCAGCTGCAGCTCTACGGCCTGTATAAGATTGCCACTGAGGGACCCTGCAGCACCCCTCAGCCGTCGCCCCTCAAGATGACTGCCCGTGCCAAGTGGTAATGCTCCTTTTCAGCTTCTCTCTCTCTCTCTCTCTCTCACACACACACACACACACTAGGAACACTTTTGCAATGCATTTGTGGATGAGCAAACTGTTACTGTACTCTTTCTACGATCTTATTGTGGTTGATTCGGTGTGATTTTTGTACTATTCAAGTGGCTGGTTGGTTCAATTCTTGTGCAGATAGTTTTATAATTGAAGCTTTGCTGGAATGTTGTGGCCAATCAAGAATTGGTTTTTAATTTCTCTACCAGATAAATTACCCTCACATTGTGGCTTTTATGGCCATTGCAAGGCTAGTTATATATATATATATATATCTTCTTTCTAATCCTTCCATTGGTCAATGAATGAGAATTGCCTAGCCCCGTTATTCAAAGCATATCGTCTAGAAATCATATTATCCTCCACTTGTAATAAATCTAAATGAAGTATTCTCTAATAAGAAATTTCTCATGCAAGTAAAATTTCATCAATTGTCTGTTTGGATTGTGAGGTTGTCAGTTTCGAACTTCATTCCTCTGTATATCATGCTAGTCATCCATTTTTACCTTTGCTTGCAAGTCACTCTGAAGCAAATACATGGTTTCCCTCGTAACTTGGTTTGATGTTTATGAGAATAGCCTTGTTTTGTTTGTAACTTGGGTTAATGTGTTTGAGAATACCTTGTCGGGGTGGTTGATCAAATTGTTTTCACCACCTTCAAAATTTGGGAGTGTTGTCATATGTGCACGGGGAATCTGGACTCATCTTTTTATATATGAGATAAGAATGAGAGGCAAGACTGGTTACTGAGTGATCTTTAGAATGTGAAAGATAATAGAGAGTGCTATTAGCTTTGATTATACTACTAGTGACCAGTGTGTGATTGTATTTGGTTTTCCTGTTGAAAACGCTCTCCTTGGTCTTTGTTGTTCTTTGTGCTTTTTGGTCTAAATTTCAGATGGATGCATTTGTCTGGGAAAGTACTCATATTAAGACACTTTTTGGGTTTTTTTTTTAACATATGATGATTATAAGCTTGTGAGATAGATGATTGTTTATTATGTGATGTCTATCAGTTATTCTTCTGTTTGGGATGAATATCTCAATTCTGATAAGTGAGAAAAAAATCTCATGTTCGCTAGGCAAGCATGGCAGAAATTGGGTGCTATGCCCCCTGAAGAAGCAATGCAGAAGTACATTGAGATTGTTACTGAATTGTATCCTTCTTGGATTACCAATACAGCTACTGTAAGTGTTTAAACTGTCTAAATTACTGGGCATTTTTTTTTTTTGGGGGTGCTAGTCCTTATTGTTACACATGGTTAATGACAGAAGAAGGAAGGTAAAGAGTCTAGTGGTGCATCAAGTGCAGGATCCAGAGGACCGATGGGACCTGTTTTCAGTACTTTTACTTATGAGGATGAACCTGGAAATGACCTGTAAGATTTCTACATATGTTAGATTGAAGGTCTAATTTGAAGACTTGAACTTGATTTTCTTTATTTGATTGAATACAAATCTTTAGGCTTTGTTGAAATGGTGAAGGGCTTTCACAATTTACCTTTTAGAGGTTACTGATATAGTTTCAAGATGCAACATGATATTTAGTTTACAACATGATTGTCATTTAATTTGATTGCTTCGTGTTTGAGGTTCCAATTGTTATTATTTGTGGCACTTCCCTTCACCCCCCTTCTGCGATGCTTTCATCAAACGGCATCGGCATTTAAGCAGTTTCTAATTGTTCTTGTTGCACTTCGTGTAGTGCATATGATTCAAGGATAATTGTTCTTTGAACAAACTTTGAATTGTAGTCTGAAGGATTGCTACATTCTTTGCAGAAAATTGGATGCAATACACGCTTTTGCGAGAGAAGGAGATGCAGGGAATTTACTTCAGTGCATTGAAAATGGTTTTCCAGTAAATGCAAAGGGTTGGTTTTTTTCTTCTGTCTTGAAGATTAGAATTTTTTTTGTGATGTTATGAACTTGTAATTTGGGTAATAAAAGTTTTTTAAACTAGTTTTCAAGAACCCTTTACTGCTGGACTATATACTTCTGGATTTTACCTGGAAGAATGAGCAATGAATGGGGAAAATATGTTTTCATTTGCCAATATTGCACCAGTTACTTGATGGTCCTTGAAATGAATGGCAAACATTGAAATCTGATGCATTTCACAAAATGAAATAAGAATCCTAGTGTGTTTTCATGTTTCACTGTGATATCATGTAGTTTCATTAAAATAATTGCAGATAGTGAGGGTAGGGCGCCGTTACACTGGGCCGTGGATCGTGGTCATCTGAATGTCACAGAATTGCTTCTAAGCAAAGGTGCTGATATAAATGCAAAGGTGAAAGACTACCTTGATATACTTTGAACTTCTGTTATGTATTTTCTTCATGTTTTGACCTTTCATGTAATAACCATACCACATTGTTTTGGGGGATTAAGTGAAATCCTTTAGCTCTTTTTTTAACCAATGGCTATGACTTTAATATCTGGTTATACCTTGTGTTTAGATGATAAAGACCTTTGCTTTCGCTTCTTTATTAGGAATTAGAAGTTATTCGATTTTCAATCGCTCCCCTCTTTTTTGTTCTTTTTATTTATTTTTATTTTTGTTCTTTTCTGCGTGGGGGAGAGGCGTAAGGTGCTGGCCTTTTCATTCTGTTCCTGATGCTTGGCCAAAAAAAATGTAAGAAGAGGCCAACATTGAGATGATTTGGCATGCACTTTTATTTTTTTCCCCCATTTCCGATGATCCTCATCTTAGGACTATTTGCGAAGGTGGCAGCTGATTTGAAAACAGCTATTTTCACCTTTAACCCTTTTATAATTACTGATGTTTCATTGCTTGCTCAAGTTTTTGTCCCTTTCTACTGCAGGACAATGATGGTCAAACAGCATTACATTATGCTGCTGTATGTGAAAGGGCAACTCTTGCAGAATTCCTAGTGAAACATAAAGCTGATATAGAAATAAAGGACAATGATGGCAATTCTCCTGCCGATCTTTGTGAATTGAACTGGCCTTGGATGCAGCAATCAGCTAATGTGACTGACTGAGGATTTTTCGGTGTTATATTCCACTGATTGAAATTTTAACATTGTACATGCTATACATAATTATTAGGTTTACCTCTTAAAAGGTCATCTTTAACATATGCTATGTCCATTTGGAAGTTGCATTCTTTTTTATTTCTCATTGGCTTTAGTTTGCATTATTTGATTTGATTTTAGCATTTTGGCTTGAATTTTATTAACTATAGATGTTCCATTTTGTTTTGAACTCTAGGTTTTATGCTCTATCCAAAAACTGAGTTAACAGCAGCCATAAATCTTACTGGGATTGAACTTGAACTTACTTTCCCCATTCCTATGGCTGATAAAGATGTTAGATATTCTACCCTTGCAAGGAAAAAAGAAATACTGAAATAATATTGAGGGTTAAAAGTATGGAATCCACTTAAACTTTACTCTTTAGTTGTACTTTATCCTCTTAACTCAATAAATAGGCATTTTGTCCTTTTTTTTATTTTAGATCAAAAGAACTCCTCTCATATTAATTATTTTTTAATTTCTTTTTCCTCCTTTTTTTTGCTCTTTTTCTACTTGTCCCTTGTCTTTAAAATTTTCTCACTTCTCTCATATAATTGACTACTTTCTTCTCTTTGCCATTATATATATATTAATTGCAATCTTTAAACTTATTCTCTATTTATTTCTATCTTTTGTTATTGGAAGTATTAATGATGATAAAGTCTATGCTATGACAAAATATATGTTATCTACGCATATAACTATTTCACATATTACTTTAATAAATATGTTTAGAGCTTAGAATAAAATAAATTTTAATGTCAATAGTAACAAATTTAGATTGTAATAATATAATGGTTAATTAACTTTACATAAAAAAAAGCAAATAAAATTATTAGTTACCTTTTTTGGGAAATACTTTTAAATATTAAGTAATTTAAAGTTTTTGTTTGCTAGTATCTTTTTAAATAGTGTAATGGTTATAATTTTTTTACGCCATCCAATTTGTCTTAAATTTTTTAATAGTATAAATAAATAAAACAAGAATGAAATTAGGGATAATTTCAGAAACCTCCCCTGAGGTTTCTAACAGTCTCACTCACCTCCCCTGAATTTTGTAAAATATCAGATACCTCTCCTGAAATTATAGTTGGAGTAACAAGATTAGCCCATGTCAGAAAAATGAGCATTAAAAAAATATTTTGAGGAGTGAGATGATATTTGTGTTCCACATATGCCTTTTTTGCTTATCTACAACTTGAGCTAAAGCAAAAGCAAAAAAAAAAAGTACTCAGTTGAACCAAATAGAGACAAATGCAGATGGCTTCTTCAAGTAGTGTTACAATGCTATTTATATTTTTTTGTTTTAGCTATAAGACATTTATTTAGCTAATATGATCATTCAATTAATTGAAACATACTTCTGGTGATATAAAAAAAATGTATAGTTTTATAATTTGAGTGATTAAAAGTATGAATTTTTATTATTTAAGTCATAAAAAAATATTATTTGAGTGATTAAAAGTATAAATTTTTATTATTTAAGTCATAAAAAAATATTATTTGAGTGATTAAAAGTATAAATTTTTACTAGTTAAGTCACAAAAAAAATTTCACTATTCGGTTAATTGAGTGAATGGCAATTGCAGTTAAATAAATAGTGTAACGATCAAATAACCAAATTCTCAATAGTTTAATAACTCTTTTTGCGATTTTCTCTGTGGAAAATGAAATGAAGTAGCAAGATACTTCATTTCATTTAGTGCTAGATAATTTAGTTGAGATTTTTTAAAAAAAAAGAATTAATTCACACTGTAGTTAGTCGAATTTATTCAACAAGTTTCGTTTGAATACCAGAACTTAGGTAGATCTGATTTTCAAAAAATTCAATAACCCAAATTGTGTTGCATCACTTTTATGAGATGATGTAATATATAATTTACGTCATTGAATTTTTAAAAATCAAATTTACCCAAATATAAGTAAAAAGTTACACTAGATAATTGTCTTACAAAAAAAAAAAACATGATCCCCATGACTTCATAGAAAGGTAACACTAGTGCTAAACTCTTCATTGGTAATTGTACTACGAATAAAAAGTATAAAGTGGAATAGAAGGTATATCATAAGTTATATCAAAAGCTATATCTCTATTACTCATTTAACTAATTCTGTCAAAATAGCTTCAAAATATATCATAAGTGATGAGGGTATATCTGTCAATTCATCATCAATGATATCACAAATAGGGCCCAATAATCTGACAAGAGAGGTATCTGATATTTTGCAAAGTTCAGGGGAGGTGAGTGAGACTGTCAGAAACCTCAGGGGAGGTTTCTGAAATTATCCCATGAAATTATTAGTAAAAGATAATTATAATATTATAATATGCATATAAATTAGTAACACTGATAGGAAGTGAAACAAAATAGTGATATGAGAAAAGTGAAAAAATAGTATAAAAAATAAAAAATAAAAGAAAGAAGTGGAAAAGAAAAAACTATAGAATGGGTAAACAAAAAAGAAACAAAATAAGATAGTAAAGGTATTTTTTACCTTCAAATATCAAAGAGAGGCAAATTGTTTATTTAATGAGTTGAAGAGGATAAAGCACAAATAAAGCATAAAAGTGTAGGGGGTTAAGTGCATTTAAACATGGAATTAAGCAACGAAAAAAGGAATTTCCTTCTTTTAATACAAAAAAATCCCTATAGTTAAGCTAACATACAAAAAAGTCTCTTATGGTTTGAACTAATTTGAAACATAAACGGAAATTATCAAAACTAATGAAGGCGGACGAAATGTTACAATTACCCTAATATATGTGAGCAATAAAAGACCTTCCAACAACCATTAAGCAAACTTACAAAAAACCACCTATGGTTAAGTCAATTTACAGAAAAGTTTTCTATGGTTACATGTTACTTTTATTTATTTATTTTGTGTATAGCAATAATGTAACTTGTATTTGGAAGTTTTTATTTATTTATTTATTTATTTTATGTATACAAATAAGGTAAGTTTATTTTAAAATTTTTGTTTATTTACTTTATGTATAAAAAAAAGGTGAGTTGTATTTGGAAGTTTTGAGTTTTTTTGAAAATTTTATGAGTTCTAAGGAGTTTAATAGGTATATCAGCTAAAAATTTGAATTAGAAAATTATTTTTCATGTCAAGCAATCTCAAACTTGTTAATTTAAATGATTTTTATCAAATTTTCATATTAATTCAAATCACAAGGTACTGTGTTGCGTGTATTTCAAACTTGTTAATTCAAACGATTTTCATCGCTTTTTTAAATTAGTCCAAATCATGAGATACCGCAATATACTAAAACTATAGAGAGTTTTTCTATATGTTCGTTCTTATAATCTCAAGGGACTTTTCTATATTTTAACCTTTAATTTAAAAGAAAAAAATGGAAATAAAGATAAAACATACTGAGATTTCTAACAATATCTTGAACTTTTTTTTATTTTTTGGTTGGGAAGTCCTACCGCACTATAAAGAAAGATAACTGTGACGTAGCAATTTTGTCATCTCATAGCACCAAATCACGCTGGCGCCTCAAGGTCCTTGCACACCATTACAAAAATAATTAGGTTAAAAAAAAGCATAAATAATTAGGTTGGAAGTTTTAGAGTTGAGTCCCTCCATTTCCGAGTCCCCATGATCATTTTGCTCCCTGCTTAGGGGGATAAAAAAAAACTGAAAATAAAGCATAAACTCTTCGGTTGCGCGAGAATCACTACATCAAAAGGGTACATTGTCTCAATCCGCATTTATAAATCTCTATACATATATTGAAAAAAGGAACTAGATGGATGGAAAGCAGGGAGTTGTGGTGATCTCGATCCCCCATTAGTCTTTAGTCCTTCTCCATCCTGCCCTATTCCAATTTGTCTCCAGGACAGAAAAAGGAAATCCTTGATAAATCATTTGTTGTCCTATCCTACGTCTTTTCAGTCCTACATACCAAATTAAAGGGAAAAAAAAAAAGAAAATTCCAAGTAGATCAGATACTTCTCTACAGCTCATCATGAGATTCATCTTCTTCTTCAGATCCAGCACCAGGGGCTCCTCCCGATCTCTGATAAACTGCTGTAACAATTGGGTTGCAAACAGCTTCCACCTCCTTCAATTTTTCCTCGTAATCCTCCTTCTCAGCGTTCTGATTATCATCTAACCAGTCAAGAGCTTCCTTAGTTGCTGTTTCAATTTTTTCTTTTTCATCAGACTCCAGTTTATCTGCGAGCTTGTCCTTGTCATTGATCTGATTTCTCATGTTGTAAACGTATGTTTCTAAGCTGTTTCTGGCATCAATTTTCTCCTTGACCTTTCTGTCTTCCTCTGCAAATTCTTCGGCTTCACGAACCATACGTTCAATTTCTTCTTGGCTCAAACGACCCTTGTCATTGGTGATTGTAATCTTCTCAGACTTCCCAGAAGCCTTGTCTTCGGCCTTGACATTAAGTATACCATTGGCATCAACCTCAAACGTAACTTCAATTTGAGGAGTTCCCCTATTCAGACAAAGGATAATTTCTGGTTAATGAAAATATAATCTCTTTTATAATCACGCACTATTTCATACCGTGGAGCTGGGGGTATTCCAGTTAAATCAAATTTCCCAAGTAGCCTGCAGTCCTTTGTAAGACTCCGTTCACCCTCAAAGACCTGCAGATGACATTAATACAATTTAAACCAGGCACCACTTTAAGAGTCCTTTTGAAAAGCAGAAAAAGAAAAAGGCAAGTGCTTTTCACGAATATCTGTAGATTTCCCACGTTTTCTTCACATGTACATGATTGCTACTCCAATGAAGAAAACAGACCTGAATGGTAACAGTTGTCTGCTGGTCCTGGTAAGTTGTGAACACTTGAGATTTTTTGGTTGGGATAACTGTATTCCGAGGAATCAACTTAGTCATCACTCCTCCAACAGTTTCAATACCCAGAGTGAGGGGAGCCACATCCAAGAGAAGAATATCTGATCAACAAAACAAAAGACATTAACATTCGAGTAACAGAATCAATTTTCAATTACTGCTTCTCCATAATTTTAGCTAAAATATGTAATGTCCATTTCCCATTTGCCTGAAAGGTCCAGAAAGAATACCTTTGGTTTCATCACCTCCCTCTCCACTCAGGATTCCTCCTTGTACAGCAGCACCGTAAGCAACTGCTTCATCTGGATTCACACCCTTGTTGGGCTCCTTCCCATCAAAGTAATCCTTTAGAAGCTGTTGAA